TGCCAGATGGAAGTGAGCAAGGCAAGGAAGAGAACTTCCTGCAGGTTCTATATGGTTCTTGGCACTGCCCCAATGCGCCATTTCCAAGCCAGCGAGTACATGTAAAGCTGGGTGGTTTCCCTCTGCCCAGGCTCTGTGGCTACCCGCCCTTCTACGACGAAAATGATGCCAAACTCTTCGAACAGATTCTGAAGGCCGAGTACGAGTTTGACTCTCCTTACTGGGACGACATCTCTGACTCTGGTATTTGTGTCTTTTGCCTTCTTGTCTGGGCTCAGGGGCCTTCATCTGCTTAGGTGTCTCCACTGTCTGCACCTTAGATTCCCTCTGCTGGGCCTCTAATCTGACAGATCTGTAGGCATGCATTCAGTCTTCAAACCCAGTATTTACAAAAATACCTCCCCTAAGGCTGACTTCCCTGAGGCTTAAACAGCATTAAGTATTTCCATCTCCCATTTCACGTCCCAGTTAGGGACTAGCTTATGATGGCTGCACAGTGGTTTACACACTAGTGTGAGTGCACTGAGTGGATTCTTCTGTAAATATGTTCTCAAGAAGGAGGGAACTAGAAGGCTGGGGTGTGTGGGGTGGTGCATAAGCAGACTAGGCCTTACTGTCTTGTTGCCGGGTGAGATCTGAGGGAGTGAGCACTGTTTTGGGGGGTGTCCACAGGCATGATCATGCTGTATCTTTGCTTCTGTCTTGGGGCTTCAGCCAAAGATTTCATACGGCACTTGATGGAAAAAGACCCAGAGAAGAGGTTCACCTGTGAGCAGGCCTTGCAGCACCCATGGTGAGAGCTCCCACTCCAAACGACATGTTAGGGTGGGACTTGGGGAACCCAGGTCTGCCTCCAGCCTCACAGACAAACTGCATGTACCCCCATCCTAGGATTGCAGGAGATACAGCTCTGGATAAGAATATTCACCAGTCAGTGAGCGAGCAGATCAAGAAGAACTTTGCCAAGAGCAAGTGGAAGGTCAGCATACACTCCTAATCCTTGGTCCTCCCCAGACTCAACTTGCACAGCACCCAGTACCAGGTGCATGCAGGACCTGCCCAGGGACGTTTTCTAAAGAATCTCCTATGTTCACTCAACAAAGGCCACTTGACCTCTAAAGTCCACAGAGGGTCTCTGAGCCCCATCTCTGGAAGGACAGTCTACTCTGCAGGATTTAATGATGCAGCCCATGGGACCCAAGAAGGGTCAGAAAGGCGGCCATAGGTCTGTCGGTTCACTAGTAATTAACCAGGCATAGAGGATATGCCTGAGGCAGACAAACAGGGGTGCAAAGAGGCCAGGGTAAGAGAGTGTGGCCAAGTGTTAGCCTGCTGGACTAGAGGGGCTGGAGGAACTAAAGGTTAGAGCCAGGCTGCAGAAGCTGGTAAAGGCCACTGAGATCCCCGGATGCTACAGTCAAGCACCCACCTGTTGTAGAGGATGATCCCAGAAAGACTGAGAGCAGGAACTGGTCCTGAAGAAAGGATCTGCTTTCAGGATGCAGAGAAGGCAAGGGGGGAAGCCTGGGAGGCCCAATAGGGTTATGTCAGAGATGTAGTAGATATCGGGGCTTGACTCAGAAGCAACAAGAACACAGGATGGTTGAAGGCAGGAGGCAGACTCACAGGAAAACAAAGATGGGAGGCATACTGAGGGAGTGAGATGTTAACAGCTGGCCCAACCTTCTGGTAGGGGACAATGTGGACAGTGGTACCATAACCACGATAATGATCCTAACGGCAGAAACATGTCTTGAGAGGGTTTAGTTTTTTTTTTTTTTTTTTTTTTTTTTTGGTTTTTCGAGATAGGGTTTCTCTGTGTAGCTTTGTGCCTCTCCTGGAACTCACTTGGTAGCCCAGGCTGGCCTCGAACTCACAGAGATCCGCCTGGCTCTGCCTCCCGAGTGCTGGGATTAAAGGCGTGCGCCACCACCGCCTGGCTGAGGGTTTAGTTTTGTACACGGTCAACTTGAGAGACACGGAGGACATCTAGGTGAGTAAGTTGAATATAAAATGAGAGAAACAAGTATGAAAACCACTTAACCTTTCTGCACTTCAGTTTTCTCCTTTGAAATTAACACTATTCCAACACTTGGGGAGGGTGAGGCAGGAGGATCGGGAATTCAAGGTCAGCCCAGTCAGCCTGCCTGGGCTAACATGAAACCTTGCCTCAAAAAGGAGGGGTGGGTGAGTATACAGCTCAGTTGGCAGAGTGATTGCCTAGCATGCATGAAACCCTAGTTGGATCATTGGTATCATATAAAACTGGACATGGTGGTGGCACATGCTATAATCCCAGGACTCAGGAGATAGAGGTAGAATTGGAGGATAGCCTGGGCTACATGAGAACCCATCTTTAAAAAAAAATGAAAGAAATTAAAGCTGTTAATATTGCTTTCCAGAGCCAGGTACAGTGGCAAACACCTTTAATCTCAGCACTTGGGAGTCTGAGGCAGGCAGATCGCTGTGAGTTCCAGGACAGCCAGTGCTACATAGTGAGACCCTGTCACAAACAAACAACAGGGCTCGTCGGCCTGGTGTGTAGCATACATACGCCTGTAATCCCAGCACTTTGGAGGCTGCATGACAGAATTGTGTGAGGATTAAATGAATAACCATACAATGTACTCAGAGCTGTGCTTGACACATAAGTGTTTGTTAGAGGAATATGAATTCCTTTGTACACATTTCATACATGTGCTTGTATGTAAGACTGAATATAACTTAGTAAAGCCTTACAGTTTTCTGGGGAGGATTTAGGGAGTCACTAAGTAACGTGTGAATGGCGATAGCAGAGTCCCTGCCAGACTCCTGCTGCCGACCCCTAGCCCTCGAGGCACCTTTTCAGCAGTCCCCCTCCTCTCTCGACAGCAAGCTTTCAATGCCACGGCTGTGGTTCGGCACATGAGGAGGCTGCAGCTGGGCACCAGCCAGGACGGGCAGGGGCAGACAGCTGGCCACGGGGAGCTGCTGACGCCGACAGGCGGGGGTAAGACCCGGATCATGTGGCGGGGGATAGGTGTCCGTGAGGAAACGTAGGCTGGAGCCGGAGCCTGCTCCACGGCCACCTCTGCTCTTCTCTCCACACAGGGCCAGCAGCTGGCTGTTGCTGCCGAGACTGCTGTGTGGAGCCAGGCTCGGAACTGCCCCCTGCACCACCCCCCAGCTCTAGGGCCATGGACTGAGCACCAAGGAAGTCAGGGTTTCTTTCATGGGAGGGGTTGGGGGCAGCCTGCTTCCTCTCACCCCAGAACTGGGGAGTTTCTTACCCCATCCCTCCTCACCCCTTCCCTCTCACTCTTCACTGCATTTTCCATACAAATGTTTCTATTTTATTGTTCTTTCTTGTAATAAAGGGAAGATAAAACAAGACAGCTCTGTATTCTCAAACAGCTCCCTCGCCCCTTCTGTAAAAACCGACTGAGGTAGGAGTGGGGAGTCTTCTTGACACGACACGGTGGGGATAGAGAAGACAAGTGGAGCGCAAAGGAAAGATACCAATGACATCCTTGGTCTCCTGGGTCCTACCTAGCCTTCTGGCCTCTTAGAGACCTTCCTGCGCTTTGCTGGTGGCTTCCCAGTCTGGTTCGATCGGCGCAGATCAGCACTGAACAGCACCTATGGGAAGGGACACATAATGAGTGTCTATGGGGAGGAGGGGATGTGAGGTCAGGGCTGGGGTCAATGGAGAATACTTGGGGAGGGGGTGGGAGTGGGAGTCACGCAAACAGGTGGTTGAAGAGTCCAGGGGTCAAGCAGGGCTCAGGGGAAGTCCTTTAGGGTCTGAGCCAGGTATACTTACTGCTTGGGCCCAGCCAGCATAAGGTCCCCACAGATTCCGGAAGAAGTTTCCTAAGTTAGAAGCGAGGAGGCTCCATTAACTGACCCACATGCCCTCCATCCTCAGATGGGGATTGTGGGAGAGATGATCAAGGATGCAGAGATCCTCCAACCTCAGCCCAGTGCCCCAGCATCACACACTCTCCTCACCCAGTTCCTTGTTGGCCAGGGGGCTCGGGCCCTTGGCCTGGGATGTGTTAGGGTGCCAGCCATAGTCACGCTGGGCGATCTGCCACACGTGGACGTCCACAGGCACAGCCTGGGGTTTGTCAAGCGCCATTAAGCAGATGCAGTCAGCCACCTTTGACAAAGAGTGAACTGTTGTGGAGGAATGGCAGGATCTGGCCCACATCCAAAGCCATCTGCTTCCTCTTCCCACTAAGGTAGCACTGTTCTGCATTTTCAGTCAGTATGCAGTAATTACCCATTACGTCTAAAAACAGCTTCAAGAAGATGTGTTCCTAAGTGAACAGCTGTGCAGGCCATGTCCTCATATAACCTGGGGAGAAGGTATGACCATACTCTTTTTAGAGACAAGGAAACGGGCTCAGCCAGGTGGTGGGGGTGGCGCACACCTTTAATCCCAGCACTCAGGAGGCAGAGGCAGGTGGATCTCTCCAACCTGGTCTACAGAGGGAGTTCCAGGACAACCTGGGCTATATGGAGAAACCCTGTCTCAAAAAAATAAACAAACAAACAAAAAAGAAGAAAACTGGGGTTTTGAAGGGTGCCTTGGCCCAAATCATACAGCAGAAATTAGGCAGTGCCAAGATTTAATGCCAGCCCATTAATTTCTTTTTTGTTGTTGTTGTTGAGACAGGGTTTCTCTGTGTAGCCCTGGCTGTCCTGGGACTCACTCTGTAGACCAGGCCGTCCTTGAACTCAGAGATCTGTCTGCCTCTGTCTCCCAAGTGCTGGGACTAAAGGCACACGCCATCACTGCCTGGCTCCATTAAAAATCCTTTAAGTCAGTGGGGTTGAAGAGATGGTTCAGCAGTTAAGAACACTGGTTGCTCTTTCAGAAGACCCGATTTCAATTCTTAACACCCACATAGTGGCTCACAACCATCTGTAACTCCAGAAGATCTGACATCCTCTTCTGGCCTCCTCGAGCCATACATACAAGTGGTATACAAACATACATACAGGCAAAATACACATACACAGAATTTTTTTTTTTAATTTCAAAGTTAAGTGAATCCATTTAAAATTTAAAAATTGTACATAGTTATCTATTCATGGGGCAGGAGTCCAAGGGAGGTCAGAGGCCAACTATGGGAATCAGTTTCTCCTTCCACCACGTGGGTCTCAGGGATTGAACTAATGTTGTCAGGCTTGGTGGCCAGTACCAAAAATTCATTTTATTTTATTTTATTTTATTTATTTATTTTTTTTTTTTTGGTTTTTCGAGGCAGGGTTTCTCTGTGTAGCTTTGCGCCTTTCCTGGAACTCGCTTTGGAGACCAGGCTGGCCTCGAACTCACAGAGATCCGCCTGGCTCTGCCTCCCGAGTGCTGGGATTAAAGGCGTGCACCACCACCGCCCGGCTTTATTTTATTTTTAACAGATTTGTTTTTATTTTATTTGTGTGTGTGTGTATGTCATGTGTGTTCAGGTGCCCATGGAGACCAGAAGAGGGTATCAGATCCCCTAGGACTGGAGTGAGAGGTAGTAATTGAAAGCCACCTGACATGGATGCTGGGAATCCAACTTGGGTCCTCTGGAAGAGCAAGTGCTCTTAACCTCTGGACCATCCATCTAGTTCCTGAAAATTCATTTTAAGCAAGAGAGGAGGATAAAGATTAAAGACAAGTTATAAATTCCAATTGTCTTCTAGATAAAGCTATTGACATCAACAAAACATTCTGTAAGCACATGTAATTTCAAGAAAAGAAAAAATGAAAAACAGAAACATCTTTCCATTTGTCTTCCCAAAAGTAACCAGTATTAACTTGCCTGTTCTTCCCTCCAGAAATTTCTGCATACATACAGTAATGTACATAAAAGCATCAACACAAAGGACCTTTCTAAGAATTTATCCCAAGTGCAGCCCTTTCTTTTTTTTTTTTTTTTTTGGTTTTACTCTGTGTAGCTTTGGACCCTGTCCTGGAACTCACTCTGTAGCCCAGGCTGGCCTCGAACTCACAGAGATCCACCTGGTTCTGCCTCCCGAGTGCTGGGATTAGAGGTGTGTGCCACCGCTGCCCGGCTCAGGTGCAGCCTCTTTTATACTCTCTGCTTCTGTTTCTAATAAAACATTTGCTACTCCTTTGTCCTTCCTGTGCTTCCTCCAAGAGTCCGGCTTCCCTGGACACTCGGGTCTGCCTTGTTTCTACCTCTCCTACTCGCCGTGTGGTGAAGAGGGCATGTCCTACTTCTCTGCGGTCTCACCTTGGTGCCCACCCCGGGCAGGGTGTAGAGGGCTTTGTGGGCGTCTTCATAAGGGGCTGCTCGAAGTTGCTGCAGCCAAGCCGGCCCACCGTGCTCTTCCAGGATGGCTTTGGCGCTGGCACATACATAGCGGGCCCGGTACCCCAGGCCCAGCTTTCTGAGGTGAGCCTCCACCTCTGGACCTGTGGGGATAGAGAGGAAAGGAGGGGTCAGGTATCCTTGCTTTGTTCCTGTCCCAGGCTAGTGTATAATGTACCCCACCTCAATGCTTCTCTAGGCACCTCTTCCTTATTTACTGTCTCTAGGAGCCAGTGGACAGTAGGATGTGAAAAGGAAACAGTTAAGACCTGAGCTCTGTCCCCATAAATGTTCCTGGTGCGCCCCCTGTGTTGGGCTCTGAAGCAGGGGCTGAGGCCTCCTACTCTGGAGGACCCCCCACCTGAGTTCTTTAGCTTTATTCAAGAAGCGCTCACATCCATGGCCTAAAAACCTGACACAGATCGGTGGATGGCCCGGCAGGCAAATGCACTTTTGCATAAGCTTGATGACTTTGAGTCCAATCCTCAGGGTCCACGTAAAAAGGCAGACGGAGAGGTTCACATCTGTGATCCCAGCACTCTTTTTTTTTTTTGGTTTTTCGAGACAGGGTTTCTCTGTGTAGCTTTGCGCCTTTCCTGGATCTCGCGCCGTAGACCAGGCTGGCCTCGAACTCACAGAGATCCGCCTGCCTCTGCCTCCCGAGTGCTGGGATTAAAGGCGTGCGCCACCACCGCCCGGCTGATCCCAGCACTCTTAAGGTGAGACGGGAGGCAGAGACAGGAGAATCTGTTGGAAGCTCACAGGCCAGCCAGCTTGGATATGCATGCAGCTCAATGACAGAAACCAGAGACTTGCCTCAAAAGAAAGAACTGACTTCTGCAAAGCTGTTTTCTGATCTCTTGTGTGTACGTGCACTTGCACTCACACACACTCACAAAATAATTTATAAAGAAATGATAATAACAGCAAGAGCTGTGTGTCACACACTGATGGCAAACTACATTGTGCTTACTTAAGGATCCTAATGACAGCATCGCTATGCTGCACATTTTACAGAGAGAGGACGTAAGGGCTTAGGTGGGGTGAAGTGGGCTGGAGAGATGGCTCAGCAGTTAAGAGCACGTGGTGCCCTTACAGAGGATCCGGCTTCAGTTCTTAGCATCTACATGACGCTTCACAACCACCAGTAGCTCCAGTTCTAGGGGACCTGACACTTTTTACTGACCTCTGTGGGCACCAGCACGTCCACACTGTATACATGTATACATGCAGGCAAAACACTCATACATACAACATAAACTTTTTTTTTAATCAAAACGAAGCAACTAAGAGCAACTGAGGAAAATACCCGACATTGATCTCTGACTTCCAGGAACACATGCATTCATACACTACCTACCTACTCACCCATTGATTCCCTATCTCTCCAACACAAAGAAAGGGCACGATGGAGATAAGATCTCTCACTCAGGTGGAGACAGCAGTGCTTACATTCTTAAACTCATACCTTTTCAATGCCTCACCACCAGTTTATTCACTCCCAAACCCTTCTAAATAGAAACTGATATTTCCATCCTATAAATAAGTTTAGCCAAGCTTAGAGAGGTGAATGCATTCCTTGAAGACTTATGATTACGATTATTATTTTTTGAGACAGGAATTCTCTGTGTAGCCCTGGTTATCTAGAACTCACTCTGTAGACCAGTTTGGCCTCAAACTCAGAGATCCACCTACCTCTGCCTCCCAAGTTCTGGGACTGAAGACATGTGCCACCACCTCCTGGCAAAGACTTACAATTGTTAAGCCAAGAGCAGAGACTTAAGACCCTTCTTAGCACCAAAACCCACCCCGTTTGAGAGAGTACCAGAGGCAGGCTCCTTGCTATTTAGTCCCTAAGCACTTCACCTAGCTAAGTCTTCACATCTGCTAAGCAATGTACTTGCCTTACAGGACAAGTGAGTTGGGTTCACCATAGTGACAGCAGCTTAAGTTTTCCACGTATTTCCTGTGTGCCAAACACTGCTGGATGCAGGATGTATCTCCCTTTATTCAAGCCTCACGATTCTGACAGAATATGTAATATTATATTCCATTTCACAGATTCAAGACTGAAGCACACACGTGCTAAATAACATTTTCAAGTGTCTGAGCTAGGATTCAGATCTAGACAGTATGTCTCAGATCATATGCCTCTAACCCTAAACTACTGAACACTGTGTACAGATGATTCTCTAATGAGGTACTACTGAATATACTGGCAAATAGCCAACTAGTGCTGATAGTTCAGGCATGAGATCTGAGGATGAGTTGGAACTGGGACTGATCAAAGTATGGCGGTTCTGGATGGAGACAGTGTTTGGGACGGTGGTAAGTTTTGAGACAGGAGCTGGTAGCTTGGAGAGAACTGAAAAAGTTTTCCTATCCAAATGCTGAAGGGGACCCACCGACTCACCAGCCAGGGCCTGAAGGCTGGGGAAGCCATGATAAGTGACATCATCAAGCTGAATGAGGCGAGGTCCAAAGGCCTGGCACAGCCGTTCTACCATGCTAGTGATTCGAGCAATGTTGTTGTTGGAGGAACAGATGAAGGAGAAAAGGCATTCTGTGGGGTCTTGTCTCAGCAGTCTCACACCTACAAGTCAGCAGGGCAGGGGGAGCAGACACACCTGTTTTAGGATTGGCTTCCTCCAATCCCTCCACATCAGATACTACATTTAGAGGCTCCAGGAGAATGAGGGAGCGAAATCAGTGCTAGATCTCTGCTGTCTCATGGCATCCTGTGAGGTCTGAGTGGCCATCCCATTCCACTGAGAAAAAAATCCACAATGCAATCACCATAAGAGCAGGGCTCTGTGTCCATTTTTTTCCTTCCTATAGCCCCAAAGAGCAAATGCACTTTTGAATATAATGACAGAATGAATGCTGTCACCTGCTCCAGGACACATAGCCAGGATTAGGCCCCACATCTTTATTTAACTGTGGTGATCATCATCATCATCACTAATATAATAACAGCCGGGCGGTGGTGGCGCACACCTTTAATCCCAGCACTCGGGAGGCAGACAGGCGAATCTCTGTGAGTTCGAGGCCAGCCTGGGCTACCAAGTGAGTTCCAGGAAAGGTGCAAAGCTACACAGAGAAACCCTGTCTCGAAAAAACAAAACAAAACAAAACAAAACAAAACAAAAAAAACTAATATAATAACAATAGCAATGTACTAAGTACTTGTCCAATCACTTTATTTTTTTTTTGAAGGTTTTAGCTTTAATATAGTAAAATTGTATATAACAAATAGTTATCAAGCAAGAATTAGTTACAATATCTAGTCTATTTGTATTTGGCAAAATTAAACATTTTGTCATCTATCCTATATTTGTGAGTGTAAAGTTTCATATCTAATTTATCTTTTATCATAACCAAGGAAAATTATAACTATCTAGTCTTTAACTACATTAAAGACCCCAGAAGGATATAATATTACCTAAGAAAACAGGAAGTACATTTTAAGCAACTTCCAAAAATGTAGAATGACAGAGACAGCTGGCTGCCTGGACAGTCACCCAAAGTTCCTCTGCATTGTTGGGGCTTCCATCTTCAGCCTACAGATCTAGAGTCTCTCAGTCACTTTCCCCTGTGTCCTGTAGAATGTCTGGCAGTCTCCTCTGCAAAGCAGGAACCTGAAGGACCATCTCACCTTGTTTCCAATCACTTTAATAAGTAAACTTTATTTATTTGTTATTATCATGGATATGTGAGTGCGGGCATAATGAGCGCCATGGCTCCTGAGTGGAGGTTAGAGGTCAACTTTTGGTAGTTGGTGCCCCTTCCACTATGGGTTCTGGGCATTAAACATAAGGCCATCAGGCTTGCATGGCAAGTGCCTTTATCTGCTGAACCATCTCACTGGCCTACTATCTCCATTTTACAGAAGGTAAACTGAGTCACAGAGCTGTAACTTAACCAATGTACAAAAGCCACCATCCCTGCCCCTTGTACTCACCTTGGAATTTCTGAGCCACTTTTTGGAAGTGGGAATCTACAGAAGCCCATTGGCTATACAGCTGAGCCAGGCTGACATCCAGCTGACAGTACTTGTGCAGGGCGTCCAGCTCCTCTAGGGTGGGCTTGCCCACCTGGCTCTTGTCTTCTCGGTACACAGTACAATAGAGCCGCTCCTCGGTCTGAGTCAGTGTCCATACTTGATCTGCCAGCACGCCACTCCAGTGTTCAGGGCTTTGCTCCCTCCACCTGAGCACCAGAACTCAGTTATCCATTTCGTGCTCTGTAAGGTCCTTCCTATCTTACAAATGTCCCACCCCAAAGCCGACTTATTTGTTATAAAGCAAAAGTAGTGTGTTTTTCATCTAAAAAAAAAAAGGCACTGGGGATTGAACCTAGAGTCCTGTGCAAGGGCTCTAATCACTGAGCTACATCCCTCAGCTTTCCCACTGATTTTTACTGCATGGTCCTCACAGCCCTGCACGCTCACTACATCTACTTCATAAAGGAGGTAACAGGCTCACCGCCAGTGCTCATACTCCAGAGTGCACCCTCATCCATCACTCCCAACGTTCTTACTCCCATCATTTTTGTTGCATTCCTGGTGGGCAGCTCTGAGGGGTCAGCGTCCCAGGGAAGGGTCCCCCCAAGCGCAGACACTCACCGGAAGGACTGTCCAGAAGCTAAAACCAGGTCTAGACGCAGTTCAGAGCGTGGACACGGTATAGAGGCCCAGAGGGCCGGGCTGGAGGTTAGGGTGCGATGCCTCATGCTGCCAGGCGGACAAGAGCCGAATAATATTCAGATGGCAGTCTCCTGCACATCACGACCCAGTCCACTCAGAACCCGACCTTCCTCAGCCCTAAAGGCCTCGCTCGCAAGGGACCACGTCCCCTTGGGGTGTAGCACCTTGGGTCCTAGACACTCTAGATCTGGTGTAAGGCCGGTCCCGGTTTAATTCGATTCTCCCTCTCCTTGTAGGCCAGCCTCCTGCCGGGAACCAAAGTCCTACCCTGCCCGCTCAGCTTTGCTGTTGGAACAAGCCCCGCCTCTTCCTTCTGATGTGGCCCCGCCCCCAGAGCTCCCGGCGCATGCCTCCTCCTCATGAGCAGCGGGGGAAGATTTTTGGAAAGTCGCGCCAGTGGGGTTCTTCCGGGTCCCAGCTGACTGTCACCGGAAGTAGATCCTAGCCCCTGCTTATTTGATCCTAGAGGTAGCCAATCCGAGGAGAAAGTGAGAGGCGCCAATGAGAACTCGGGTGTGGCGGAGTGGGCGGGCCTGCCTGAGGCGCCTTAGCGGTTGGCTTGCCGGCCTCGCTGCTGGCGATTGGCCGCCCGCGGCCGGACTCTGCCATCTCAGGGCATTCGGTGTGATCTCAGGGCCTGCGACTTCTTGGGCCGGCCCGCTCTGGAGCCACATCCTTGCAGGGCGTGGTGGTACACTCACAGCGTCCCAGCACCCGGTAGGCACAGGCGGGAGGATGGCCGCACGTTCGAGGCTGAAGTAGGCTGGGCTACATGGCGAGATCCTGTCTCAAGAAACAAACCGAAAGGACCTCATCCTTTCTCCACCGAGCCTCTTTTGAGGCAGTGTGAGTGAATCCCAGAGAATCCTCTTGTCAGCCAGCGCTGTCCCCTCCACCTCCCGCCGTGCGGCCCTGAATGCGCCATCTCGGCCTTCCTCCCAGGCTTCAGAGTCCAGTCTCGGCCCCATCCTGCGGTCGCAGCTACCCCCTTCCATCTGGGCATGTTCCTTCGGTATACCCAATCTTCTGCCCACACGCCGCGTGGAATAGGGCTTGTGTATGGGCTTTCTTTGGGGTTCACCGAGTCCAAGTACCAATATGTGGCCCCCAGACAGCCTAACGGACCAATTTAATTACCAGCACCAGCCACCTTAACCCCAAAATGAGTATATCACTTACAGTTTTCTCGAAGATACTAAAAAATGCTGAGGGCTAGGAGACATGAACTTGAGATACTAGTCTGACACACTAGGACATTTTCCACTTAGCATAGAGATTTTTAGGGGTTGTATCTAAATTTTTGGACTACAAATTCAAGGGTAAGGTCAGCTGCTGATTCATCTTTGTGTTAGCCTATGTACAGCAAGGCACAGCACACCTGCTGGAGCACAGGAAGCATCAACATCAAACGAACGGGGTCTTTTGTCTCAGTTCATTCCCAAGTAGCTGCAAGGCCTCAGGCAGCTATATTTTACTTTGGTCACCTCATCTATAGGCATGTCACCTTAGGGGTGCTTGGCACTTAGAAGGCATTCCCTCCATCAAGTGTTTCAGTCTTGTCCAACCCTACTGTTTCCAATTATGGTCCCACCTGTAGTGCTGGAAACAACGCTTAGGCTATGGTCCTAACAAAGGACTTGAAGCATTTGGAATCCACAAAGGAAATCAGCAGTTGGATCTCCATCTGGTTTTAGCATGCTAGCTGAAGAGCCAGCCTTCCAGACTAATGGACCTGAGTTTAATTCCCAGCTGCAGCTTCTCAGTTGTAGGAACTTTGGCAAGTTAGTTCATTTTTCTAAACTTCAGCATGAGATAACTAACCTGCTGTGAACCCACCCCATAGTTACTGTGAGGATTATACAACAGTGGACTAACTAAAGGTACTTACTACGGCCTGTCAATGTGGAGGTAGCTGGCCTAATATTAGTTAGCCCACCCCATAGGACTGCAGGGATTAGAAACCATTTATGTATTTACAGGTACTTAGGGCAGTGCCTGACATTCAGTGCATGGGAAATGGGAGCTTTCTGCCTGACCTTGAGCTCACGGCAATCCTCCTGCCTCAGCACCTCAAGTCCAGGGATTACAGGACTGTGCCACCATACCCAGCTTGCTGATGTGTTGTCTTATGACTAGCATGCACATTATGTCAACAAACCCTTGGGCACAGTCATCCATGAGGCACAGATCTCTCCCTCTGAATCCTTTTGCCCTGGTAGAAGGCAAGAAAAAAAGAATTCTAAGTAGACTTTATTTTCTAAGAATCAATATATTTTCTTCCTTTGAAATAAATACAAACCAGTTTGAAAGGTAGGGGATTCTATGGGAAAAAGAAAAGGAGTAGAGACAAGCTCCATTCTTTTTTTTTTTTCTTTTTCTCTTTTTAGTACCAAATGACTCTGGCGCGACCCGGAAACGCAGTTACAAATGAGAATAATTTAAATTCTCCAATAATTACAGTATTTACAACAGCAGGGGAGGGGTCACCTAGTGCCCCTCTTCCAGGCTAGACAGACATCAATCCCACTGCTAGGCTGGGATAATGCTGGCTTACCTTACCACCTGCAAGGGCCTCAGGCCTTTAGGCAGTTATGGATTCCCCTGGCAGAAGCAGGTAGGGTTGGTGGTATGGCCCACCACCCTGCCCTACAACGCCATGAGGTCTAGAGCTCTTATTGACCTGTGGAACCTCTCCTCTCCTTGCACTGAGTGGCCATGAGCCCTTGGAGTGTTGTGTACAGTCCAGCTGCACTCAGGGCAGGAGGGACCTCCCCTACCCAACTTCCCCTGAGACTGGCCCCAAGACCAGGAATGAATCAGTGCAGAGGGCGGCACCACTCCAGGACAGTGAGCAAAGGGAGGAGAAGTCGCAGAGCACTGTAGTTGGGCTCCGACAGCATCAGTCGCTGTCGCTGGTCTCGCTGCTCTGCTCACCCTGCACCTTGCTTCGGTGCTGCAGAGCCCTGTGGTAGGCAATCTGCACTGACTTGCGGATGTTGGACTTGCGGCCCTCCAGCATCTTCTCTTTGTCTAGATCCTGGTTCACACCCAGAGGAACGAGTTTAGTCCTGGGCAGCCACTGCCTGTCAGACAAGGTAAAGATGAGATGAGGCACGGATTTCAGGGTGAACAAGTACCAGCCCTTCCACACTCCATGTGTGGAAATTTAGAAATGCCTGATTCTCAGCAACCCTGCTCTCAAGGGACTGTGTAGTATACTGAGAATAGCCCAATCAACAGTTATAGTAGGAGAATAACTCTCAGTTAATACTAGGGGGAATAACTGATACAAGAGAAACCTAAAGTAATAAAATTGATGCTCTAAAGGATTTACTAAAAGACTTGCTTAGGAATTCTTAAGTTACACAAAGTAGAAGTTAGATGAAGGAGTTTTGTCTCCAACATGTCTGGAAGGTGAGTAGTGGACTAATCAGGCATATTAGAAACCGCAGGAAAGAAACTTTTGTACCATTATGGCAGTCGAAGGTTGTTGAGAAAATGTTTCTGCTAATGTTTGTTCACCAAGATTGACCTCCACTTAATCTCCATTCCCAGAACAAAAGGAGGCAACGCTGATGGAAAAGTAGCCATCGGGCCCATCTCCATGGCACAGAACGTTCCCCTAAGGGCATCTTAAGGTGGCAGTGCAAGAGGCAGCCATTGTTAAGGGCATCCTGGTCTGCCATTAGGGAACCTCTTATCAGGAAAAGCATAATTCTGCCAAGTGGGCAAGATGACCCTGGGTCACATCTATTCAGAAAAGAATAACACTGGTGTACTTAAATAATTATGGCAAATTCTTTGCTGTATAAATCTCCCATCTGCTCAAGTGGCTAGACTTGCAGTCCCGTCTCTCTGTAAGTTTCTGAAAGTGTAACCTGGGGCCATGACCTGGAAGAGATTTAAGGATGAGAGTGTATGTGGACTGTATAAGCCTAAGGCCTATGGAAGCTGGTAAAATGTTCCATTTGAGGCTGGTTCTCTTTTGTGCATTAGCCAGAACCAGTTGCATGCTATTATTAAACTTTCATTTATTAATTTCTTAGGTGTGAGGAGTGATTTTTCACTGGGAAGACATATTAATTCTACAGCATAACCACAAGGTATTTTATGGGTGACAAAAACCTCAAATAGGGCCGGGCGGTGGTGGCACACGCCTTTAATCCCAGCACTCGGGAGGCAGAGCCAGGCGGATCTCTGTGAGTTCGAGGCCCGCCTGGGCTACCAAGTGAGTTCCAGGACAGGCGCAAAGCTACACAGAGAAACCCTGTCTCGAAAAAACCAAAAAAAAAAAAAAAAAAACAAAAAAACAAAAAAACAAAACAAACAAAAAAAAAACCTCAAATAGGTATCTTGTCCCAGCTGTTTCAGTGAGACTATACAGATTATCATCTGCAGGCAATTAACAAAAATTTGACAAGAGGGATTTAAAACTGAATTTTTTTTTTTTTTGAGACATGTTTTCTTGTGTAGCCCTGGCTGTCCTGAAACTCACTCTACAGACCAGGCTGTCCTCAAACTCAGAGATCCGCCTGCCTCTGTCTTTCCAAGTGCTGCCTCCTGAGTGTAAAGCCGAAATGGTCTATGCTTGCTTTTCCCCCATCTTGTTACTATAGAGGAAGAAGTGGGAAAAATAAGTCTAGAAGCCATCTGAGTGTGGGCAGGGAGCCACCCTAAATTTGCCAGTCGCTGATGGTCCTTTGGTTTCTAGCTCCAGCTGTTTTCCAGCTAATGCCCACTCAGCCCATCAGACTCAGGACAAACACACCCTTTTGCTTAGAGCTATTCTAAGTGTGCCCCCCCCCCCCCCAACACTTTGTAATAACCTAATCTGTTACTGTGTCTCTTGGCAGTCTGCCCCCACATCACAGATGGCTGTATTTATATCTGTGGCTTTAAGTCACACCAAGTGCACCCCTCTTTCCTTACCAGGTTCGTTTGTTGTCAAAGAAGAGAACGAGGTAGAGATGCTCTCGGGCTTCCTGTGTCATCTGTTCCCCAAGTTTTAGAACCTCCAGTGGTGGTACAGGGATGGGAACCCCATGGTGGAACATACCTTCTCGGGGCATCTTTGGATCAATGATCTGAGGGTGTAATATAAGCCCAGTTTGGTTTAGGTCACTTCCACCCCAAAGCTAGCACATCTAACAATCTGAAGACTATAACTGAAGAAGATGTTACTGGGACTGTAGTGTTGACCTTGCTGTGTTATTTCAGAGCCTAGGGGGCAAGAGAAGAGATAGGAAGAGGTGGGAAACTGACTGGGATCTCTCTGGGTTA